CCTCTGCTGTCCCCTCTCCAGCAGTTCCCTGTCCTTCTGGAACTGGGGAGCCCAGAACTGGTCCCAGTGCTCCAGATGGGGCCTCCCCAGGGCAGAGCAGAGGGGCAGGATGACCTCCCTCCACCTGCTGCTCACACTCTTCCTGATGCCCCCCAGGATGCCCTTGGCCTTCTTGGCCACCAGGGCCCATTGCTGCCTCATGGCCATCCTGTTGTCCACCAGGACTCCCAGGTCTTTTTCCTCAGAGCTGCTCTCCAGCAGGTCACCCCCACCCTGTCCTGGTGCAGGGGGTTATTCCTCCCCAGGTGCAGCACCCGGCACTTGCCCTGGTTGAAGTTCATCAGGTTCCTCTCTGCCCAACTCTCCAGCCTGTCCAGGTCTCGCTGGATGGTGGCACAGCCTTCTGGGGTGTCAGCCACCCCTCCCAGCTTTGTGTCATCAGCAAACGTGCTGAGGGGACATTTCTTCCCTTCATCCAGGTCATTGATGAATATATTGAAGAGGTCTGGAAGCAGTACTGACCCCCAGGGAACCCCACTTGTTACAGACCTCCAACTAGATTCTGTGCCACTAATCACAACCCTCTGAGCTCTGTCTTTCAGCCAGTTTTCAATCCACCTCACTGTCCGTTCATCTAACCCACTTTTCCTAAACTCACCTGTGAGGACTTTTCAGCACCTGAAATTCCCAAGGTGAATTCCTCCTCTTTTTCAGACTGTAGTTTTTGACAGGGAAGGTAAATTCAGGACAGAAGTCGCCGGTGCTGGAGTTTTGTAAAGCAGATTATTCTCGGCAGCTCCTCAAAGTTTGCAGGGAACCACGCTGCTGATGTGACTTCAGCACCTCTCAGCTGCCTGGGAGAAATCAAAGCCCTCCCACTTAAAAAAAAAACCCCAAAAAACCAGGACCAGGAGACTGTTTAAAGCAGCCTTTCCTCCCTCCTAAATATCCGAGCTGTCAGGATGAGGCAGCTGCAGAGTTTTCTTTCTCTTTCCAGCCAGCTTACATGCACAGGGGAAGGAGAAACAGCTCAATGTATCTGGGGAAGGAGGTGGGAAGGAGACCACAGCTCCTGGGACAACTCGGTCGCTAGAAACAGCAGTGGGCAACCGCTGCTCTGAGTCTTCAGCCCATTTCAGAGCCTGGCACAGAGTGGTCTCAGGATCACAGGTCTCCCCTGAGAGCAGCCAGTGACACTCGCAGAAGGGACTGACCCTGATCTCACACCACATTCCTTCTTTTTCCACATAAACCAAGCACAAGTTCCACAAGGCTGCACGGTGCCACTACTCCCCCCTCAGGAGCTCTCACAGACAGTTAACACGCTCACGTTCTTCACCACAGGCCAGGATACCACCAACTCCATCTTGGACACTTTTCTGCTTTTATTTTAAAAAAATCCAGAATGGATCCAGTAACAGTTTTATTATCAAGGAATTTGTTTTACCATAAGCAGAGAACAGACAGGATGGAGCAGAAGGCTCAGACAAGCGAAGTATTTAACTGCCACGCAGCCTCTTCTGTGAGAAATCATGTTACAGCTGAATTTGAAGTCGCCCCTCTCCTCGAGAAGGCGGGTACTAACCTCGCTGCAGATCTGAAAACACTCCCTAGCCATGGAACCAGCCTTCTCAGCACAGTTCCTGGGCCTCATCACCTGCTTGGATCCACAAGGAGGTCCCTACAGGTGTTATTCTCCTCCCCAGTTCCAGCAGGGCTTCCATCTCCACCCTTCCATTTAGTGACATGGTTTTCCAAGTCGGGTATCAGATTTAGTACACCATCGTGTCAAGGATCAGAAAGAAACGATCAGCGAGTCCCCAAGGTTGCCTCAGTCGAATACCACGGGGCCAAACACTTTGAAGAACTTCATCTGGCATGAATTAACTTTCATCAAGTGACAATTTATCTAGCAGACACATCACTAAGTTTATACATTAAAGAATTTTTATATATAGAATACTGCAAAAACACAGTAAGTCTGAATTCTGCCCATTGCTGCTCAGGAAGGTCCCTTCTCTCCCAAGCGTCAAGAAATCGACCTCTTCTTCATAACTCTAGTCCTGGCACGACAGAGACTTCTTATTGCTTCTCCTCCTTCTGATCCCCTGGGCTTCCAGAACCCTCTCGCTCAGAGGCCATCTGTGAAAGAGTTGGCTTATTAGTCGGAGTAACAACAAAATGTTTCTCCTGGACATCTTTTTTTCCCCTAGTTTGCTGCTTCAGTTAGTTCTAGGGTGAAGAAACCCTTCCTTGAGTGAAAAGGGTAGTTGTGCAGTGGGGAGTGGAAACCGTCCCCGTCTCTGCCTGGCTGCTTTAAGAGGGAGGAAATTATCTTCCCCTTATTTGTGCCTTCCCAGTGGATGTTACGGGCTCGTGCTGCAGCACTGGACTTTTCCAGTTGGACAGCAGAAAAGCAGCTTTCCACAGTAGGGAGAGCTTAGCCACCACCAAGGTCACCCGGGCAGAGCCACTTCCATCCTGGGACACTTCCCAGGACAGCTGGGGCACACCACTGCCAGGGCGGCCTTTCGCCGGGGAGAAGAAAACCTTGACGGCCTTACTACTGTAATTTTTAATTAAATTAAACAGGAAGCCTGTTATACAGTCATCCTTAAAGTAAGTCCAGTGTTACTTTATTACTTCAGGCACTCCACACACCCAGGGGAGAGCCCCGTTCGTGCTTTTCTTACTGCTCCTGATTAAGTATCCAGCACTTTTTCATACAACGCTGGACAGAAACACAACACACCACCCAGGAAACAGCCACCCCCAGCAGGATGGCCAAAGTTTTGGGCCTTCAGCTCTGACTTTCTACAAGTGTCCCTCAGAGGGAGCTGCTCCAAGACCCAACACCACACCCTGGCTAAATGTTTGGTGTCCCCCACACACCCCTCCCCATCCGAGGGCTGGGACGTGGAAATGACAGCGAACCTACCTTCTTGTATGCCATTTCAAAGAGCTTCAGGGAAGCCTGCTGCAGGCTGGTTGCTGCCTGCCTGATGTTTTCGCCCGTTTCACTATCCTTACGAGCCAGAAGTTCCCTCATTTTAGCAATTTCTTCCTTCAGTTTGTTGCACTGCAAATAAAACACAAACATGCATCATGAAATCCCGCGTTTTGGTCACAGAGAACCTCATTCCTGTCGTTTCACCCACCTACTGGCTGCAGCAAAACTGGTTCTTTTTGGCCAGAAGCTGCAAAGTTAAGTCTGAAATTGAGCCATATGGTCTGCAGGGAGTAGGGCTGTGCTCAGTTCCCCGTGGGCACCTGGCCACTGCACTAAACATGCCCCAGTTGGCATTAATTGGTCCCCTTGTTTGCCATCTCAGCAGAGGCGCCGAGGACAGAAAGCCCCGTGGAGACCGACCAGCCCGCCAAGGATGAGAGCTGCTCTCCCTGGCACACCTCACCAGCCAGCCAGCCACCCAAGGAACTGGGATAAAGGGGGGAAAAAAGACATTAAAAAGGTGGTTTTCAACTCTATTTAAGGCATGTCAGAAAGCAAGTGACTGAGGGTGTTCACCACCCTGGTTAATCCCTCTGCTGCACGTGGTGAAGGAGCAGAGGGGAGTAAAAGCAAGACTCATCCCAGCCCCTGTAGCCATCTGTCTCCCCCAGTCTGGTGTGTCTCCGTCAGACTGGCACGCTGCTGGGGAAGAGAGGTTACTGGGGGACAGCTGTGCTGGCAGCATTCCCCAGCAAAATGTGGGCAGAACTCTCCTCCAGACCCACAGGAAGGGAAAGGAGATCCACGCCTTCTGTGTCAAGCCACCATCTCCACCCACACAGCACAGGGCTTCTTCCAAGCTCTGCTACTCATAGAATGGTTTGGGTTGGAAGGGACTTGCTACTCATAGAATCACAGAATGGTTTGGGTTGGAGCAAGTGACTGAGGGTGTTCACCACCCTGGTTAATCCCTCTGCTGCACGTGGTGAAGGAGCAGAGGGGAGTAAAAGCAAGACTCATCCCAGCCCCTGTAGCCATCTGTCTCCCCCAGTCTGGTGTGTCTCCGTCAGACTGGCACGCTGCTGGGGAAGAGAGGTTACTGGGGGACAGCTGTGCTGGCAGCATTCCCCAGCAAAATGTGGGCAGAACTCTCCTCCAGACCCACAGGAAGGGAAAGGAGATCCACGCCTTCTGTGTCAAGCCACCATCTCCACCCACACAGCACAGGGCTTCTTCCAAGCTTTGCTACTCATAGAATCACAGAATGGTTTGGGTTGGAAGGGACCTCAAAGATCATTGAGTTCCACCCCCCTGCCCTGGGCAGGGACACCTCCCACTAGAGCAGGTTGCTCCAAGCCCCATCCAACCTGGCCTTGAACACTTCCAGGGATGGGGCAGCCACAGCTTCTCTGGGCAACCTGTCCCAGTGTCTCACCACCCTCAGAGTAAAAAATTTCTTCCTGAGATCTAATCTGAATCTTTTTTCTTCCAATTTAAAACCGTTTCCCCTTGTCCTATCACTACACCTCCTGGCAAAGAGTCCTTCTCCAGCTCTTCTATAGGCACCCTTCAGGTATTGAAGGGCAGCTTTAATGTCTCCCCGGTGTCTGCTGTTCTCCAGGCTTAACAACCCCAGCTCCCTCAGCCTGTCTTCATAGGAGAGGTGCTCCATCCCTCTGATCATCTTCGTGGCCCTCAGACCTGCCAGTCCATGTCCTTTCTGTGTTGAGGACTCCAAAGTTGGACACAGAGCTCCAGATGGGGTATCATGAGTGCAGAGTAGAGGAGCAGAATCACCCCCCGAGACCTGCTGGCCACCCTTCTCCTGATGCAGCCCAGGACAGGGTGGCTCTCTGGGCTGCCAGCACGCACTGCCGGCTCATGGTGAGCTTCTTGTCCATAAGCACTCCCAAGTCCTTCTCCTCAGGGCTGCTCTCCAGCCATTCCCTCATGTCCCCTCATTACTACTCCCCAAAAAACACTACGGGGAACAAGGATTTGAACCTATCAGAGGCTGCTTACCAACGAACTGTACTCGTCCCCTCATTACTCCCCAAAAAACACTACAGGGAACAAGGATTGAGGCTCTGTGCTCCCGAGAGACAAAACTCCAGCAACCACAACCCCAAACACAGCCAATATCCATCCTAGAAGAGAGGAGCTGGGCTGAAAAACAGTATTTGAACCCATCAGAGGCTGCTTACCAACGAACTGTACTCTTGTTCCCTCAAACGCCTCGCAGAGGAGCCCGAGGAGCCCTTTCATTCTGCTTTGGAGAGCTGTTAACTTGAAGATTGTGCAATCTGTTTTAAATTTGGCTTTTGAAATTCGTAATGCAAAAATTAAACTGTCACTTAGAACAGTATGAGAAAGCACTCTCTCGATACTAAATATCCACTTCACTCCAAAGATAGAAGAAAAATTGGAGTTGAGTGGATCCAGTAATTTTCGTAGCCTCCAAATTCTCGGGTGCTGCGTTCGTACAAGCGCGGCTGCCGGGACTGCACAGCAGCTTTGCCTTTGTCCCTCTGCTAATACACTGCTAGCTCTGTTTGTAATTTCTAGCTTTTGAGCAAAACTCTCCCCTCACACGGAACAGTCCTTATCAAACCACAGCAAGGCCAAGTCAAGGACATAATTCATGCAGAAACCTTGCATTAGCAGCTTCCCAGGCTCTCAGATCTTCAGCAACACTGAACTCACACTTTGAAATAAGATATTTGCTATTATCTAAACCATGTTCTCCTAAGTATGTCCTTACAGCCCCCACCAGCCCCGCTCATCCCACTCATCAACTGCAAAACCAGAGGAGCTGATGACTGTGCCATCTTTCCACCACATGGAAGTAAACCCAGAGTTGGTGCTGCTGCCCAGAGCCAGCTGTGAGTTCAGAGAGAATTTGAGCCAAAATACAGCGAGGAATCTCACCTCCTGTGAAACCACCCACCTCATCTGCTGGCAGCTGATCCTTGAACTCCTCCATCTTCGACTCTGTGTCATGGATGATGCCTTCAGCCATATTTACAGCTTCCACGCGTTCCTGGGTGAGAGAGAGGATCCTAAGTGCTTACCAAATACAACACTGGCAATACGAGTCGCGTAGGTACGAAGGAGCAGCTGACACTTCTTTCCCCAAACTGCTGAATCCCACTCTAGCTCCCACCCAGGGTCCTTTCTAACGGCGAGATGGGAAGAAGAAATGCAAGCAACCCATTTCTAGATGCATCCTGGCACCAGGAAGCCTGAATAGACAGTCTATGAGGCAGTCCTCATGCTTTCACACATAGCAAATCCTGCTTCCCTGGAAGTAGGAGCGACTGGAATGGCACTACTGAAAGAGCCAGCAACTGCAGAGACAGGACAGCACTCTCTGTTCCTCAGGAAAGCAGCATACACCAGGCAGAACTAAAATGCTGGGCTGTTTTACTCATGTCTCCTTATTACAAATGCTTGTAGCACCTCAGGCACTCTCTGTTCCTCAGGAAAGCAGCATACACCAGGCAGAACTAAAATGCTGGGCTGTTTTACTCATGTCTCCTTATTACAAATGCTTGTAGCACCTCAACGGTGGAAAAAACCCCCTATGCTAGGCAAGAAATACCTAGTAAGTTTTTAATATTACTGTTACAAAGACAAGCAACAGGGGACAGGGTAGGCTGTAGGTACAGAGGAACAGTACTCCTGAGATGTAATTCAGTCCCAGCATCAGCATGAACTATTTCACCAGCAATCAGTCTCTGGGACACCCAGCCCCCTCCATCTGGAAGAAGAGTCTGCCCAAACAAGGGTGTGATAATCTTCTCAGGACACTAAGCAATTCCAGTGGAAACCTGGTGAAAAATAATTGTTTCTACACTACGTCTTCAGTCTTTGTGGGATGTCAAGGTGCACAGCAGGATGCTGAATCCAGCAGAGTGATAGTTCTGTTTATGTGTTCATGATACTGCCATGGCAGTAAAACCATGAGCAGAAAGGTGTAATGAAGGAATTCTGACAGTTATAGTTACGTGTCAAGTAAAGAGAAGCATTAGTTAAGCAAGCAACCTAACCACCTTCCTCTGATTGACCGCTCGACAGAGATGAGCCCCGCTCCCAGACAGGGAAGAATTTATTCAGTGATTTAAGTTACCAAGTTGAAGAAAGGCAACAGGAACAAGTTTTCAGTGCAGCCTCTCCCCTGGTGAAAAATAATTGTTTCTACACTACGTCTTCAGTCTTTGTGGGATGTCAAGGTGCACAGCAGGATGCTGAATCCAGCAGAGTGATAGTTCTGTTTATGTGTTCATGATACTGCCATGGCAGTAAAACCATGAGCAGAAAGGTGTAATGAAGGAATTCTGACAGTTATAGTTACGTGTCAAGTAAAGAGAAGCATTAGTTAAGCAAGCAACCTAACCACCTTCCTCTGATTGACCGCTCGACAGAGATGAGCCCCGCTCCCAGACAGGGAAGAATTTATTCAGTGATTTAAGTTACCAAGTTGAAGAAAGGCAACAGGAACAAGTTTTCAGTGCAGCCTCTCCAAACACAAGCACTGATGCAGTTATTTAAACACTAGGACTTTCAAGCCAAGGTCTTTAAAGGTTCTCCATCTAACCTAGCAACGCCAATAGCCAACGTGTTGTGGCTTTAGAGCTTTTGAGTCAAGGTGATGCTGCTTCACGTGAATTTATTCCATGCATTCTCTCCTTTAGTCCCCTTCTGATCCCTTCAGTGCTGAGGGTGACAGTTACAGCCCTGCCTGAACACCTCAGAGAGGTTTCTACAGACTAGGAGGACACAAAGTGGATAAATCCAGTGTGCCAGCATCAGCAATCACTAACTACATGCTGGTGCCATACCCCAGAGCAGGCCTTCGCAGTGTCTGCTTAAAAATCAATGCTCTATATTTAGTAGCATAACTCATTAGTACTACTCTCATTAAACCAATTAGCTCCAACCATTAATCCTATGTATATCACAGGTTCAGTCACCCAACCATGGCAAGCGTCAGCCTTTTCTTCTTAAAGTCAGTGAGGCTTGCAAAGACCTCCTGATGGCTTCACCTGGCAAACACTGAGCTCAGGTGAACACAGCATTCAAGATGCCACAGGGAGATTTTAAGCCCTGTGGAAAACAACTTCCCACTTAGGAAGGAAGAGGCTAAGGTGCAGTTTCACTCGGCAGGTTCTATAAATTAAGCTTTAAAATAAACTCATAGAAAGTAACTTAATATCCCCATAGTGGCTCCATTTAAAGAGAACATCACTGTGAGAACCCAGCTGTAGTAGGCAAGCATCAAATAAACAGCCAAGGTAACAGGCAGGTGGACAGTAAAGAGAATTGATGATGAAAAGCATAACTAGAATTGCAAAGCAGTGCAGATATTTGGGCAACTGCAGAAACAGCTGGAGATGGTAGAGACCAGAACCCACAGCTCCTTCAAAAGGTGATACAGAACAGTAATAACCAGCAGAGACACCCCTAGCTGGGAGATACCGTAACCATCACATTACCTTTCTTCGCCTGTCTTCCTCTGCGTATTTCTCTGCATTCTTCACCATGTTCTCAATTTCATCTTTGCTAAGGCCACCAGAAGACTGGATAACGACTGCATTAGAGAAGAAGCATTAACAGAGAACGTGCTTTCATCTTTGAGGAGAGTATTCTTTCCCAAACCCTCTCAATGGCAGCAGCCTCACTCAGGGACTCTGCGCCTGCAAAGACCCCGTGGGCAGTACAAAGCCAGACAGCTCTTTGAAGACACAGCGATGCTGCTGGCATGAAGAAAGCCTGACATCTCAGATCTATGAAGTCCCCAGCTCTGCCAGACACCTCCTGTCCACTGGTCTGTGTGTCACTTTGACCATTCTCCAGCTACTGCTCCTGGAAAGTGAGTGTGCACACAAAGCCCCCATAAATGAAAGGGGCACTCTGGCAGGTTAAAACCCACCAAACTAAAGAAAACCAGCAGAAAAATCAACAGTAAAAAAAAAAAAAAATCTAAAGAGAAGGAATCGTGTTATCAAAGTACAGAGACTCCTTTCACTGCTGGAAAGCAGCCCAGGCTGGGAGCAGGATAAGACAAGATTCCCCACCCAGCTCCTCACACAGAACATAGTGTGATTCTGTGAGCAGCCTCTTAAAAGGTGTGTCCCCCCACCTTTTTTTCTTCCCCCCTCTCCATCAGTGGCAAAAAGGAGAATCTAGACTTAAGCTAATTTCTGCAGTAAAGCATAATTTCATTGTGAAAGAGAGAGGACCCAACATCCAGGATATCACAAAGTCCAAAAAAAGGGGATACTAAGACCCTCACTAGTAATAAGTTTTCTATGTAATATTTCTCAACAGTACAAAGCCCCAAATAAAGACCCACATCCTTTGGATGCAAGCGTGGGGCAAGCAGCTCAGCTTTACAGTAAGGACTAGGTCTGCAATACAGATAAGCAGCTAAAAAATTGCCAGTTGCCTGTTATCAGGAGATGGCTTTTCAGAGGTAGAAAGCACATTGAAAACCTATGAACAAATTGAAAATCTAAAAGGAAATCAAACTAACATGCAGGGTGGTTGTGGTAACAAACCTCTGCCAAAAGCCAAGCAGCATGATTAAGAAGAGCATGTACCTTCAAGTTGCCAACACAGAGTTAACGATATTTTTTTTAACTGGAGCATGCATTTGATTGCTCAAGTGGTTGCCTCCAAGAAACAAGACAAGGGCAGTTTAGAGACTTCCCAGTCAGAGCCACAAAAGAGATCTATTTTCTATCAGGGGAATCTATAAATGCTTCAAATTAATTTTCTGAGCCCACAACAGAGCTTTAGAAAATGTCAACCGTGGCGTTAATTACCCCAGACCAGCAGACCTAACACTTCATGGCACTACACAGCAAAATACACTGACAGCTTGAAGTCCCCAAACCTCCTGCCATTTAGAGACGTTTCCAGCCTAAATGGCTATCAATTAACAAGGTGGTTAGGCAAAATACCTGATGCTTCAAGAGACTTGAATTTCAAGGCCTTTGTAATGAAGTAATTAGAAACAAAACAGGGGCTCGCACAGGGCTGACGTGTTCAGTGTTGACATGCCTTGAATTCAACAGAGATCTTTCCTAATTTGATTTCTCTGCTAAAAGCTGGCACCTTCAGGCAGGGAGGCTCAGACAGACAGACAGCTCTCCCTGGGTTAGCAGAGGGTGCTCCCAAGCATGCTGTTCCCTTGGGAGCAACTCCTACAAGGTCCTAAACCCAAACTCTGTCCCTTCAGGGTAGTTTAGGACAGAACATCACCACTCCGAGCTCCTCAGGGACACAGGACATCCCTTGTAAGCTCCACAAGCACCTGTGAGCCCCCAGGTAGCCAACCTGAAGGCCCAACACCTCTCTGGGGACTGAGGCACGGCTGATACATCCAGGAAACCCCATGAAACACTTGCACTCCACTGAAATGTGGCAGTAGCCATCACAGCAGGGTGCAAGACCAAGAAAGGACCATCATACAGCACAAAATGACTTGGAATGTGGCAAAATCCTGCCAATGAGGACTTCCTTGACTTTGGTATAGGCAGATGCTTCATCTCTGCCTTGTGTGCAAGGAGAGAGCATCCACTGGTGGCAGTCTCTGTCGGCAGGCGAGCAGAGAGGGCAACAGAGGCTTTAAGTTCTTTGAAATGAAACTATGGGCCAGCTGTCACTTCTCCCTTTGCCCCTCTTTCCAGAGGAGGCACTCAGGCCAAGATGACTTCAACTGCATCTACGCTGAGACACAAGAGATTGCTTGTGTCATCCTGATGTTTCACCAAGCGACACGCATCGCGGTCCCCACTCCTGGACTGCAGGCTGCCCACCTCTGGAGTCACCCAGTGTCAGCCTCAGTGCCCAGCGTGCTGTGGCACCACCACAGCTCCACACCTCTCCTCCTCCTCCTCCCCGGGCAGCACCCCAGAGCACTTACTTTGCTGTTCGCGTCCGGTGCCTTTATCTTTGGCAGAGACGTGAACGATACCATTAGCATCAATGTCAAAGGTGACCTCAATCTGGGGCACTCCCCGCGGCGCTGGAGGAATCCCAACCTGAGAAGGAGAAGTATTTAGCCATTAGCTCCCACACAGACATGGGCTCAGGGTAGGTGGCTTCAGTGCTGGGCATGTTATCTTGGTGATCTGTCAGTTGAATCAACTATTAATTAATCAGAGGCAAGTCCTCTAGATGTCTGTTGGCATCACGCGGTGAATTAGCAGTATCTAGATTTAACCAGACACAGGTTTCTACCTAGAACAAGTGCACTGAAACCACAAGAGGTAGCCCCAAAGTTTGGTTTGGGGGTGACACAGGCTCTACTATACTGCTAAACTCTTCTCTTCCGGGATGTGGCAAGATACTCTTGTTTCCTCAGTTCTGGACATGACTGGACTTTACTGACTACCTCCAGGCTATCATATTAAAAGAGAGTGACCATCAGTGCAGCTTCCTTCAAAAGTACAGAAGAAAGGCAAAGCCTTTCCTTTCTGGATGGCTCTTTCTAGCAACAGCAAGTTTGGGTAAACAGTTCAAACTGTGCTGAACTTTGCCAACATTGCCCAAACCAACTCTGCACAGGGAGCTGGTCAGGCAGCCCCACACTGCACACGTGAATCCCTGGAGCACTTCTGATCTCCAGTAAGCAGGGCAGTTCCATGGGCATTCACAGAAAAGCAGCATTGGGCTAGAAATGGGCTTCTCTGGGACTGCAGGTATCCTGGAGCCTGCTCCAAGTGTTGTCTTTGCAACACCAGAGGAAAGGCCCACACTAAGGTGATCTCCTGCACAGGCTTTTTTAGGACAAATAGGGTCAGATGTCTTCTGTGAGAGGACTCCCCCCAACACCAGGGGTCAACTGAAACGGAGAAGGCTTCGAACTTCTCCAAGAAGGTCATGTCTAAGGTCAGGAATACTGAGTAGCCAACGTACCAATGTGAATTGGCCAAGAAGCTTGTTGTCACTAGCCATCTCTCTCTCCCCCTGGCACACTTTAATCTCCACTTGAGTCTGCCCATCAGCAGCTGTAGAAAACACCTGTGGAAAAGGAAGAGAAAGTTACTGGGTAGGCAGGAAATTACAATACATGAACAGACGCAGTTAAATGCTGACTAAACAACAAGGAATAAAGAGAAACTACTTCAGAGAGACAAAGAATCATTAAATGCTGCTTGTTCTCCTGTTCCTCTGACAAAACACCAAGGCAGGAAGACTAACAATGGTCAAGTTCACTGGCTTCTCATCCTGTAAGTACTTGAGCCAAGGAAACCTGGTAATACCAGGCCAGCAGCAGGCTCCAGTGCAGCCACATCACCAGAACACCTCCTCCCCAAGCAGCAGTGCTCCCACCCAGCCCCACAGAGAACAAGCGTTATCAGTCAGAGCACACACTGGCAGCCCCAGACAAGGCAAAGTGAAAGAAAAGATCACACCCAAGTCTATCAGGGCCCACACAGGGGGAAAAAAAAAATAATAAATAATCCCTTCTAAGGTGTACAGTCCAAGGAACGTGGTCTCAGAGGGGTGCGGTGCTCAGTTACAGAAGATCTCCACACAATTCTTCTTCAGAATGATGTGTTGACAGTGACATCATGGCACACACACTGCGACTGTGACCAGGCCACAAACATCCTGGGGCATCCTGGCACACATTAACCCAACTTACCTCCCTCTTGGGCACAGTAATAATCAGTAGAGATACAGTGGTTGATGCTAAATTAGATTTCTACAATGCTTCTCCTTGCCAGATGTGGAGGAGACAAGACCATCCACCACTGGGATGCTTCCACCACAAAAGACCCAACCCCACCTGGAGTCAATTTGTACCTGGCTCTTCTTAGTGGGTATGGTAGTATTCCTGTTGATGAGCTTTGTGAAGACACCTCCCAGCGTCTCAATCCCCAAGGAGAGGGGAGTTACGTCCAGCAGCAGCACATCAGTAACATCTCCAGCCAACACACCACCCTGAATAGCCGCTCCGATGGCAACGGCTTCGTCAGGATTAACTGCTTTGCTAGGAGCACGGCCAAACAAATCCTGTACAGTCTGCTGCACCTGAATTGAGAGAAAGCACAGCTCGTATGTGAACCATCACTGCCCGGTGCCGTGGCCATAAGAACATGCCAGCCTTGGCACAAGGTCTGTATCTTTGTGCTCCTGCTGCCACGTAACCCCGCAGCACGACAGAAATACTAAACTTCAGCCTTGTGACTGCTCCCTGATTCCCCATCTTCCACATCCCCCGTTAAACGCACTCGTTTCAGTCTAGACAACCCCTTCTCTGGAGACTCTTGCAAGCACGTTTGCCAGCTGCAAGTCAACCTACAGCACTCCTTTCATGCAGCCCAGGGATGTTCAGAAGGGATGACTCCACGCTTATCAAGCAGGAGTTCAAGGACTGCTCCCTGGGAACTCGTGCAAGTGGGCAGAACACAGCTGCCAAGGACAGTACAGCTGCGGAGGCAGAGGAAAATAGATCCAGAGCAGGACAGTTCATCTTGTTTGTGTGTAATAAAGGAGAGGAGGGGAAAAAAAAAAAAAAAGGAGATTGTATGAAGTACAGTATTTTAAACTCCATTTAATGGGCTGTTTCACCAGAGATGTAGGTTTGCTATGTCAGCAGACAGCCTGTGCTGCGTTACCAGCTTTTCACTGCTCTGCCCCTTTGGAAGGACGTGCTCACAATTGCAACAGATTTGCTGCTGAAGTATCTGGATGGGAAGGCAACAAGGTCTCTGCACCCAAGCACAAGCAGTTTGCTCCTCTGCTGTACTAGAGAAGGGTGTGGGGCTTCGTTCCCCTCACAGCTTCCTTCCCTGAGTATACCCAGAATCACAGAATCTTCTAGGTTGGAAGGGACCTTAAAGATCATCTTGTCCAACCATCAACCTAACTGACAAAAATAGACACCCACACAACAAACAAGGAACATCATCACTAAACCATACCTCCCAGCACCACATCAACCCGTCTTTTGAACACCTCCAGGGATGGGGCCTCAACCCCCTCCCTGGGCAGCCCATTCCAATGGCTGAGAACCCTTTCAGTGAAAAAATTTTTCCTAATATCCAGCCTGAACCTCCCCTGGTGCAACTTGAGGCCATTTCCTCTGGTCCTGTCGCCTGTGACTTGGGAGAAGAGATCGATCCCCACCTCTCTACACCCTCCTTTCAGGGAGTTGTAGAGAGCAGTAAGGTCTCCCCTCAGCCTCCTCTTCTCCAGGCTGAATAACCCCAGTTCCCTCAGCCTCTCCTCATAAGACTTATTCTCCAGACCCCTCACCAGCTTTGTCGCCCTTCTCTGGACCCGCTCCAGCACCTCAATGTCTTTTTTATGGCAGAGGTGAGCCCCATGTGCCCGGAAAACTGCGCTGTAAGCAAACATCAACCCCTCTGCGCTCACGCCAAGAGACACCTTCCTGGAGTGTTCATTACAGAGGAGTAAGCTTTATGTACGAGCATATAATTAAGTGCAAGTCTTTTCCCTCTGGAGGCATATTTTACAGTACAAAAGAAACGTTCCTTCTAACCACACACTGTCTGTCTCCTGGAGCACCCCAAAGGCAGCACGTTCCCTCCTAGCAGGGGGACACGAACACCACGACGCACACGCTGTGCGCAACATACGGGCGCTGCTCTTGGAGCCAGAGCTGTAACTACAGGCACACTGGAAAGCACTCTGTAAGCTCAGTGCCACAAATGCCATGGGTTAGAAATAGGGGGTAAAAAAAGTAAAATTAATCATAAAAAAAATAAAATCAATATTTAAGCACTGTCTCCCACCCCTAAAGGAGACATGATGTTTCAGGAAGGGCTTCCCCAATTCTAGAGGTGGTTTTTGTCACTTTATACACAGATAATCACAACATTTTTCCTCTATCCAGCTGGAAGAGCAGGGACTTTGGGAAGGTACAGCACAGTTACTCCACTGGAGCTTTGGCCAGAGCAGTCCCTTCTGTTTATCTTGTTGCTCTGGTTCCCCTGCCTGGGTGACCTTCTGCACACAGGAATATCACCTCCAGCCACCAGGCTCAGTTAACACTTGGGGAAGGAAAAAAAAAACCCACCACCAAACCCTAAATCAATCCCAAGCAGGACCAGGTACACACCTACAAACCTAGAAAAGACCTGCAAAACACAAATGTTAACAGCAAACAAATAGTCCAAGCCTGATGGATCCCCATGGAATGATATTTTGATGATCTCTGCAGAAAAGGACAGGCTGTACCCTCGAAGAGAGCGTGTCTGTACGCGTTCAGCTCTGACTTCAGGGGAGCTCAGCAGCAGCCTGCATCGCTACCAACAAAAATAGTAAATCAACAGCAGGCAGCACCTGATCTGCAGGACTGTGCATGTCAGCAGAGCAAGCTTTTAAGTTACCTGTTGGTGCTTATCACCACGTAACACGAGGGCCAGATATTAGGTAAGGAGTGTTTGGAACAGCCAGTTCAATATGCTTCACAACACATAGGTAGCCAAATACAGGCAACCAGCAGGTAACAAAACCATTCTGCTTGTGCAGTTTCCTCACAGCTAGCTCTAAGTGTTCTACACGGGGGAAGAAATCCACCAGAAGGCAAGGATTATTGTCACTGAAGTGTACCTTCATCACACAATGCAGTCTACGACAAGAGAAAACACCCTGAACAATGCTGCTTATGTTTGGTCCACATGAGAAATTCAAGTTGAATTTTCAACTCCTGAGAACTCCCACTTGTCTTTGTGAAGTGCAACTCAGCTACAGCCCCCAGATCCGAGCTGAGCTCATTAAACAGGACGAGAGAGTCCCTTGTCACTGCTTTCATGTGACTACTTT